GCTGTGGTCTATTCACACAGCGGAATACTGTGCAGCACTGAAAAACAAGGAACTCATGAAATACTATACAAAATGAGTGACGTTGGAGGACATTATGTGGAATGAAATATCTCAGTCACAAAAGGACAAATACTGCATAATGCCACTGTTGTAAATCAGGGCAGATATCAGTGTTGAGGGAAAACTAAAAGAAGAGGGAATAAAAAAAAGAAGAGGGGATAAATAATGTACACTGCATGGAAACAGATGAGAAAAAGAACAGCTTAAAAGGAATATATGATTAGGTATTATTTGTATGATAACAGTCCAGAATAAGAGCTGCATAGTAAAGTGGACTGAGATGGAGATGGGGAATTATATAACCATAAAATGGAACAATTTCTTTTTCCAAAGGGAAAAGTGAACTGGGGCGGTGGTGCAGGGATGAAAATGTGCAATAATGAATAAATGGAAATCCAGGTTCTCTATAAACTTTCATTAAAATCACAAAAAAAATTGTGAAAAAATAAAAGATGCATTAATGATAATTGGTGACTGGAATGTAAAAGGAGGAAACAGCAAAGAAGGAATAGTATTTGGAAAGTACAGACTTGTTGCTAGAAATGAGGCTGGAAATAGAATGATTAAATTTTGTATTTATAATGATTTATTCACTGCAATTACCTTTTTAAAAAGACATAAACAACTACACATGGATCTCACCAGATGGGCTACAAAGGAATCATATTGACTATATTTTTGGAAGAAATTGTTGGAGAAGTTCAATGTCAGCAGTCAAACTAGGCCAGGAGCGGACTGTGGTTCAGATCATCAGTTACTAATATGCAAGTTCAAATTGAGGCCAAAGAAAATAACAAGTACACAGGAACAAAGATATGATCTTGAATCAATTCCGTCTGAAGTTCAGGATCATCTTAAGAATAAGTTTGAGGGTTTGAATGCCAGTGAACAAAGACCAGATGAGCTGTCAGATGATATCAAGGATATCATCCATGAAGAAAGCAAAAGGTCATTACCAAAACAGAGGAGAAAGAAAAAAATAAAACTGGATGTCAGAAGAGACTCTTAAGGTTGCACTGGAGCACCGAGAAGCCAAAACAAAAGGAAAGCTTGTTGAAGTAAAAGAGCTGAGCAGAAGATTTCAAAGGGCAGCTTGGGAGGACAAAGCAAAGTACTATAATGGAATGTGCAGAGAGCTGGAATTGGAGAATAAAAACAGGCAGAACGTTCTCTACATTTTTCACACTGAGAGAATAGAGAAACAAATTTAAGCCTCATGTCACATTATTGAAAGATGCTATGGGCAATAGGCAATACCATCTTATTTGCTGAAAGTGAAGAAGACCTGA